CTCTCTCTCTCTCTCTCTCTCTCTCTCTCTCTCTCTCTCTCTCTTTCCCCTCCCTTCCTTCCTTCCCTCCCTTGCTTCCTTCCTTCCTTCCTTGGATCAGGACCTTGCACTTGCAAGGCAGGTGCAGTGCTATTGAGCTAAACCCCTGGCCCTCCTTTCCTCCTTTTTTATTTTTGAGTCAGGGACCCCCAAGTCGATAGGTCACCCAGGGTGGGATCAAACTTGCCATCCTCCTGCCTCCACCTCTCTGGGTGCTGAAATTCTAGGCATGTTCCTCCACACCCAGCTGGGTTATCAAGTTTCTGGAGGCCTGGATGTTTCTAGGCAAAGTCTTGAGAGCACTTGGAGAGCTCGTCAAGGTATTGGACCATTTCCTGCTCTCCTGTTGGATACTGACTTCCTTCACATGGGAAGACTTATCCACCTAGCGTGAGAAATTCAGAGATGCACCTGCTGGCTTCAGAAGCCTGTGTGCTGTCAGGGAGAAGAGACGCAGGTGGCCATGCTGCCCCAGAGTAGATGACAGGTGGGAGAGCCAGCTTCTGACCCTGGTGGACTGGGTGTGGCAGAGCTGCCCTGCTGGGGTCCGGGTATTGTAGCCCTGTCCCAGTCCTCTCCAGTTTCACATAACTTACTTTCTTTTTACCACTTTATTATACATTTAAAAATTTCCAATCTCTATGATTTTTGGATATTCTATAAAAAAATAGTGGATATTCTAAATCCTTTGTATCCATATTAGACTCCTTTTGTTTTCCCCATTTTAAGTGAAATTTTGGGACAGTATTAATGTAGTTCCTGTGCCTGTCTGGTGACTTTAAATATCTCTTTACTTTCTGTGGGCTTTTGGTTCAGTATAAAACATCCTTTTTAGATGGCCTGAGGCCACTTTGTCTCAAACCCCCCCCCCCCGCCAAAAAAAGAAAGAAAAAATGAAAGAGAATCTTGATTGGTGGAAGCGATTTTTGTTTTTCTTGTTTTGTTGATACCTATACTAGGTTTATTTGTTTATGCCTATACTAGGCACTTGACCTTATTAATCTTCACAACAGGACATTAAAGTATTATAATTTAATTTTGTAGATGAGAAAACTGAGGCTTAAGCCATGTAAAATTTGCTTAGGACTGGAGTGTAGCTCGTTGGTAGATGCTTGCCTAGCTTGTGGAAGGCCCTGGGTTGGACTTTCAGCACCCTAGAAATATGCAAATGAGGGCCGAGGATTTAGCTCAGTGGCCAGTGAGTGCAAGTGCATTGTTATGAGTTTGATCCCAGTACTGCAAAAAAAAAAAAATAAATGAATTAATAAACTTGCTCTAGGTCACACAGCCAGCAAATGCTTGAACCTAGATTTTTTTTTTTTTTTCTTTTTGAGACAGGGTCTCACTATGTAGGTGAGACTGACTTGGAACTCACTATGTAGCCCAGGTTGGCCTCGAACTCACAGCGATCCTCCCAAGTGCTGGGATTACAGGTGTGCGCCACCACACCTGGCTTGAACCTGAATTTTAAACCCTGATCTAATTGTAGTGCTTTGCCAGGTGGTTTTTATTAACCCTGAGGAATGAGGTAACCTTGGTCTGAGTATCCAGCATTAAACCCTTATCCACAGGGAGGGGCTTTGAGAACTTCCATTGTTGCAGCAGAATAAGTGGAACTTCCCTAACCTTTGGGTTGGTCAAAGAGAAGGTATGGTCTGACATTAGATTGCTTTAATTCCCTCTGAAAAAAGAAGCCCTCCTTTCTCCCTCCAGCTAGGAGGCCAGGTTCCTAGGGCATTTGTTGTGGGCATCAGGGTGCTCTGGGCAGAGAGTATAAACTGTGATTTGCTTATGGCTTTGAGGATTTGGGCTGTACTTCTCCCAAGTTTTCGGCTCATCTGTTGTAGTCACGTTATGTCAGTGTTTTGGCACAACCTGACATATGTCCCTGTGCGGGGCATCTTGAGTCCCTGGCTGTAAGGGGCGAGCGCTTGGTGTGCTCCCTGCAGCCGCCTTAGAGTCTGTGTTTAGGGACTTCTGTTGTAATATTGCGTGCATCTGAACTGGCCTTAGATAATTTTAGGCCACTTGCTGCTCTTCTCAGGACTTCCTGGTTTTGCTGAGTTTGGGAGTCACACAAGATCTGAAGCTGTGATGTGAAGGATATACTTTTCCACCTACTTGGCCGAGAGGGAAGCAGAGTCCACCAAGGCCTTGGTTCTCTTTGTTATGGGGAGATCAAAGCTGCCCCTCATGTTTTCAGCACATGTACATGGCGTAGTTGGGCAGTAGAGCAGATGCATATAAATGAAGCTTCCTGCTTGGACCAGCTCCAGAAGGTTCTCTTGTGTTTCCTCACATACAGAAAACCTCAAAAGAGAAGGAAGGTGATAGCCGAGGATTATATGTGAGAAAGTAGCCTAGCCTACTTGATTCTTATGCTAAGATGGGCTCTAATCCTTGTTTCCTTTTTGGTATTGGATTAAAAAATGTAGGGCAGGGTTAGAATTGGCTGTTAATAATACCTAGGACAAATACATGCTCTGAGAACTTGGAAAGGAAATAACTTTGTAGGAACGGTTGCAGCTGCAGCAGTTATTAATGTCTTTTAACCTTGTGATACTTGGTTTGATTTTCTGCTTATATCTCTGCTTTTCCCAACTAAAAAATGTTGTAAGCAAGGTATTTTTTAGGAGCCAGGCATGGTGGCACACGCCTATAATCCCAGCACTTGGGAGGCTGAGGCAGGAGGAATGCTGTGAGTTCAAGACCAGCCTGGGCTACATAGTGAGTTCCAGGTCAGTCTCAACTACATAGTGAGACCCTGTCTCTAAAAACCAAAAAAAAAAAAAAAAAAACCCAATATTTTTTAGGGCATTTAGATTAATTTATAGTAGCAAAAAATATTAATTCTCAGTAATACAATAAGTTCACATAAAGAGTGAATTATGCTGTTTTCTGCTGTCACAGTAGCAGAGATTAAAATAAACAAGCCTCATGGCATTATCTGGTACTATGTTGATTTGCAGAGTCAAACAGTATTGGTGAGAGTGTATTATGTTTTTGGAAAATGATTCAGCTGAATTTATCAAAAGCCTAGAGCATACTTTTTGACCTATTCATTCCATACCCAGAAACTTCCCTTTTCAGAATGGCCTTGGGCACAACAATATTCATTGATCTATTATTATTATCATTTCATTTTTTGAATCTGAGTATTAAACTCATAGTTTCATGTATGCTAGCTTTATCACTAAGCTACATCTCCAACACATTTTTTCCCCCCTGAGCTTTTCTTTTTTTCTCTGCAGAAAGCTTGGGACAGCTTTGCTGGTTGTGGTGGTACACGCCTGTAATCCCAGCACTTGCGGGGCTGAGGAAGGAAGATTGTCGAGATGTTAAAGACCAGTCTGGGCTACATAGCAAGACCCTGTCTCAAAAAAGAAAGAAAGTTTAGGACAGTTTTGGAGGTGATAAATTGACAAAGATCAATCATAATTTTAACCTGACAAAAATAATACATTGGTATACATTTTTCTAATTTTCCTGTGCATGTTTGCTTTTAGAAAGTGGTTATTAATTGGACATGGTGACACACACCTGTAATTCCAGCAGCAGGAGCATGACAAGTTTAAAGCCAAACTGGGCTAGATAGAAAGTTCAAGGTCAGTCTGGACTACAGAGTGAGACTACTAGAAACAAAACAAAGATATACCATGTATTTTTCCCTTGTTGCCCCCAACCCCCAGCACTAAGTATGGAACCCAGGGCTTTCACACTGAAAGCCTTGGAACTGGCATTAGTAAAAGGGAACCCAAGGGGGTTCATGAAATCAAAACTATCAGACTAAGATGTCATTTGCCTCTTAGTTTTCATCCTCTTATAAATGGAGATTTCCAGATGCTGCATGGTTCCCAGCAGATTGGCTGCAGAAGCAGATAAGGGAAGCCAGCTGTCTTTTGTGAAGTCAGACATTAAGGACAATTACAGAAATGTAAAAACGCTGCCAACATTTTCCCTAAGATTTGTTATTATGAAAAATGGTTATTTTTCATTAAGATACTATTTGTGTTCACGTATACTGGGTTTATTTTTATTTTAGATAAATCAGATTGGGTTTTTTGTTTGTTTGGTTTTTGTTTTGGTACTGGGGATCAAACTCAGGACCTTGTGATTGAGAGGCAGAGGCAGATAGTGGAACCACTGAACTAAATCCGCAGCCCGATAAGTCAATTTTTTAAAATTTCAGTTTAATGAGACAGGGTCTCCCTGTGTGGTTCAGGCTGACTTCCAACTCACGGTGATCCTCCTGTCTTAATCTCCCAAGTGCTGGGATTATGAGTGTGTGCCACTACACCCAACACTTTTTTTTTTTTTTTTTTGAGACAGGGTCTCACTATATAGTTGAGACTGGAACTCAATATGTAACCAGGCTGGTCTTGAACTCACAGCGATCCTCCTGCCTCAGCCTCCCCAGTGCTGGGATTATAGATTTGTGTCACCATGTCCAATTTCCTTTCTTTTTTTTTCAAAATTTCCAATATTTTAGTATAAAAGCAACTTAAAAATTTTTTTTTGTTATGAGATAGGGTCTCACTATATAATTGAAATTGACCTGGAATTCACTATGTAGCCCAGGCTGGTCTCGAACTCACAGCAATCCTTCTGCCTCAGCCTCCCTAGTGCTGGGATTACAGGCGTGCACTACCACACCTGGCCCCAGCTAATCTTTAATATTACAAATAGTAATAGATACTTACCCATTTAAACCAACCCTCTCTGGACCCTCAAATTTTAAGAGTAAAAAGAAGTCCTGAGACCAAAAAGTTTGGGAACCATGGAATTGAGGTGGCAGGAAGAGGATTATCTTTATGGTGGGTTGTTTGGGACTCAATCGATAGATTGTTGAATTGCATGACTCAAGAACAGAGCCCAAAGGAAAATGACCTAGTGTAATAGGCAGGTGTGGAAGTCCTTAAAATATAAACATTCCCTCATTCTCTTTCACCCTCTTTTTTTAGAAATCATGCATGATGTGATCAAGAAGGTCAAGAAGAAGGGGGAATGGAAGGTAAGTAAAAGAATGAAATAAGGGCCCTATGGGTGTGTTCATGTGGGGAAAATAAGTTGGATAGAAGGAGTCAGGCAGGAATGAAAGCTATTGCTGTACCCAGAAGCCTGAAAAGCTTGTGGATCAGAGAAGGTAGTCTGTACTGCCTTTTTATTTTTTATTTTTTATTTTTTTTGAGACAGGGTCTCATTATGTAGTTGAGACTCACCTGGAACTCCCTGTGTAGCCCAGGCTGGTCTTGAACTTGCAGGGATCCTCCTGCCTCAGCCTCCTGAGTGCTGGGATTATAGGTGTGCGCCACCACACCCAGCCTGCCTTTTTTTAAAAATAGGATCCTGGTTCAGAGGTCTCTTGGTCACATTAAGACAAAAGAAATAAAAAGGCTTATTTATTCATAAAACATCTGTCAATTTTACCTATAACATCTAGAGCAGTGCTGGGAACTATAACGTGCATGAAACAAGTATTTAAGCCAGCGGATTGAAGATGGCCTTAGGTTCCTGGAGTGGCTGATACAGAATGGCCCATGATGTCCTCCGCAAGTGTTGCCAGCATTTTAAGAGTTGCCCTGTTGCCCAGGGCTGGGTGTCATGCTGGCCAGATTTCATGTGAATGTCCCCATGTGATGTTGAAGGGATTATACCAGCTATTCTTGCCCTCATGTTTTCGTACAGTCAGGAGCCCACAAGTGTGCAAGGCCACTGGGCCTGGGAACAACAAAACTGATTGGTGCAAGGGCATTTTGAAGCCTCACTCTGGCCCTGTGGGCTTCTGTTTGGGTCAGCACATCCATCCCCATTGCCCAGAAGGCAAGGCCATACGTGTCTTTCTCTGGTACTCTCCCATCAGAAATGGATTTATAGGCACGGGAATATTAAACTGTTCTCGAGGAAGCTGCTTCCTGAAATGAAACTAATTGGCTCCAGTGCTGCAGCAGAAAGCTTTCTGTCCACACCGTCTGCCTGGATATGTCTGGTTGCCTTCTCCTTGGTTGTGTCTTTAAAGGACAGGTGACTGCCTTGAGTTAACCGCTGGCTTCCTCTCTCCCCATGGGCTGAATGGAGATAGGAAGGTTCACTGAACGGTGCAGGTGTGAGGCCTGAGGCCAGGACTGGAGCATTCATGTTCTTCCAGCCTGCGCAGTGCTCTAGTGTGTGCCAGAGAAGGTAGGACTCCTGCAGACACACCGCATCTGGCCCTAAGGTGCCATACCTTGTGTATGGACACTTTCTTCTTTCTCTTAAAAATAAATTTTGTTTGTCTGTGGCACTGGGTATTGGACCCAGCGCCTTTGTACTGAGCTACATCTGCAGACCTTTTGGATTGTTACTTTAAGACAAGGTCTTGATAAACTGCTCAGTAGTACAGGCTGGGCTCAGACTTGTGGTCCTCCTTCCTCTGCCTCCCAAAGTGCCAGGATTACAGGCATATGTCACCACTGAAACAAGTTTTTCCCAGAAAATATACTCACCGATGTGATTATCTCTCACTGTTGATGCTATAGATGATTTTGCATTTTTATGAGTACTTCATTTTTCAAAATCATGCAAATTAAAACTTTTCTTTTTTGAGACAGGGCTTCACTTTGTAGTTCAGGCTGGCCTTAAACTCAATAGGCCTGAGTGTGGTGGCATCTACCTATAATGCCAGGAGTTGGGAGGCTGAGGCAGGAGGATCATCACAAGTTTTGAGGCCAGCTACACAGCAAGTTCAAGGCTACATAGCAAGACCCTGTCTCAGACAGACAGACAGACACAAAAAACCTCACCAGGTATCCCAGGCTAGCCTTGAACTCATGGTGATCTTCCTGCATCATCCTCCCATGTGCTGGGATGATAGGTGTGGGCTTCAACCCTGGCTGAAAACTCTTTGAAGTTTATGAAATTGGGTCAAATCAAGAAGAACAAATACTGGCGGCCGGGCGTCGTGGCGCACGCCTGTAATCCCAGCACTGGGGAGGCTGAGGCAGGAGGATCGCTATGAGTTCGAGACCAGTCTGGGCTACATAGTGAGTTCCAGGTCAGTCTCACTACATAATGAGACCCTGTCTCAAACCACCCCCCCAAAAAAAGAAGAAGAACAAATACTGGGCCAGGGATTTAGCTCAGTGGTACCTCGCCTGCCTTGCAAGCACAAGGTCCTGAGTTTGATCCCCAGTACCAAAAAAGAAGAAGAAGAATTTAAAAAGAACACATACTAACTCCTGGAAGGTGAGGTTTGGGTGTGGGAGGTAAAAACAAGTGTGTGTGTCTCTACAGACTTCTGGACCATAGGAAATGTGGTTTGTCCTGCAGTCTGCATTTCTGGTGCTTTCTGAAGCTGGTGCAGTAGCCTGATGGGAGAATCAGCAGATGCCACGTGGCTCATGAGCTCTCTCTCCTTCCAGGTGCTGGTGGTGGACCAGCTAAGCATGAGGATGCTCTCTTCTTGCTGCAAGATGACAGACATCATGACCGAGGGGATAACAAGTGAGCACAACTCTGCCTTGGGCCTCTCCTAGTCATGATACTCACTTGACTTTAGACAGTGCCGCCACCCTGAGGGGTAAGACTGTCAGCCCCGGGGGAGAGCCAGGTTGCCTGTTCATCACCATCCTCACAGCTAATGCAGTGCTATCAGCTAGTGTGGAAAGCAAAGTTATATCAAGGCAAAAAGGCAGTCTGCCTGATAGCAGAGGGACCTGAGCAGATACTGAATACAGGAAGAAACCTAAATGACCAACACATATATGAAAAATCCCCACTCCTGGGAATCCCATTAGTGATCAGGGAATCCCATTCAAACCAGAGTGAGCCACCGCTACAGACTCACCCGACAGCGGAGACGCACAATGACAGGAGCTCCTGTCCAGTATAATAACAGCTGGTGCAGCTACTTTGAAAAATCCTTGGCAGGGTCTAGTAAAGCAGTAGGTGTGTGTGGCCGAGAGCCATTGAGGCTGTGATGTGTGTACCTTGGACACACAGGTAGTGGAATTCTCAGAATGTTGGCATAGGGGTCCCAGATGGGAAATAGCTTTCAAGGGTAGAATAGTTAAATGCACAAGGCTGTGGGTTCCATCTCTAGTAGCACACACAGACACAGACACAGACACACACACACACACACAGGCTGACTGACTGATTGATTAAATCATGGTACAGCAGAATATTCTAAAACAATGAAAATAGAATGAGGCTGGTATGGTGGTACAGACCTCTAATCCTAGCGTTCAGGTGGGTGACGGAGGCAGGAGGATCACTGTACATTTAAGGCCAGGCTAAGCTACAATGGAGACCCTGTCTTCAAAAAGGAAAGATAGTCCTCAAATTGTGATGCTACTGTAGTGTAGTTTTCCTGTTAATTGTGGGAGTGCATAATTTTTGGAGTGATTTTTGTGTCATCAGTGTTCCCACTCAGTTGTTTGGGTTTGTTTTGTTCTTTGGGGTTTGTTTGTTTGTTTGGTGTTGAGATAGGGTCTCATTGTGTAGGCTGGTCTTGAACTCACTGTGTATCCCTGGCTGGCCTCAAACTTGCTGGGATTATAGGTGTGCACCACCAGGCCAAGGTTCTGAGTTAGTTTTTGACAAGGCTTGCCCCTATCGGAGATTATAGAATTATTGTCCTCAGTGAATGTGTGTGTGTGTGTGTGTGTGTGTGTGTGTGTGTGTGTGTGTGTGTGTTACTGGGACTCACATACACTAGACAGGTGCTCTACCACTGAGTTACACCTTAACTCATGTATTGTTTTAGACTGGATCTCATTAAGTTGCCTGTGAAGGTCTTGAAGTCTCCTGAATAACTGGGATTACAATTGTACGCCATCACACCTGGCTTTCTGGCTGAATTTTTAAGCCTTACTTTTCACGTGGATGTGGTGGTACATCCCAGCTACTCAGAAAGCTGAGGATGGCTTGAACCCAGGGACTTAGGATCACTCTCGGCAGCATATGGAGACCTCCTCAAGCAAACCAACCAACCAGGCTTATTTTTCTCTATAAAAGAAAAAGATTCAGAGAAAAGGGAATTAACAAGCTTAATATTCTGTCCTCATCCTCTAGGGTCCATTGCCCTGGAGCAGCCACCCTGTTCTTCCTTTGTTTCTCATATATATAACATATATTTTTTTCTAAATAAATGCTTGTACTGTTATCTCTCAGTTCATCTGTGTTAGACGTTACCCTGACCTTGCTCTGATAGCTCAGCTCCTATCACCATATGCAATTCTTTGAAACCCCAAAGGTAGGTTTCAAAATATGTCCTTACTTAGCAAAATTAAAAACTTCACACACACAGACACACACACACACACACACACACACACACACACACACACACACACACACACAACACACACACACACACACACACACACACACACACACACACAATAAAGGGCCAGGGATTTAGCTCAGTGGTTCAGTAGCCTGCCTTGCAAGCACAAGGACCCGAGTTCAATTCCCAGTACAAAAAAAACAAACTTCACAGCTGTATGCTGAGGCCCCCGAAATTGAGGGGGGAAGTATTAGTAGACTATAATATTTAAAACTCTTAAAAGAACACACACACACACACACACACACACACACAATAAAGGGCCAGGGATTTAGCTCAGTGGTTCAGTAGCCTGCCTTGCAAGCACAAGGACCCGAGTTCAATTCCCAGTACAAAAAAAACAAACTTCACAGCTGTATGCTGAGGCCCCCGAAATTGAGGGGGGAAGTATTAGTAGACTATAATATTTAAAACTCTTAAAAGAAGATGGTTTTGCTGGGCATGGTGGCGCATACCTATAATCCCAGCACTTGGGAGGCTGAGGCAGGAGGATCACTGTGAGTTCAGACCAGCCTGGGCTACATAGTGAGGTCCAGGTCAGTCTCAACTACATAGTCAGACCCTGTCTCAAAAAACAAAACAAAACAAAAAGTTTAGGTGATTAATTTGAGCATTATTTGGGGTGAAAGTTGTTATAAATGTTATAAGGAACGCTTTTAAAATGGTACCTTTTTTTTTTTGGTACCAGAGATCAAACTCAGACCTTGTGCTTGCAAGGAAGGCACGGTGCCACTGAGCTAAATCCCTGGCCCAAATGATCCCTTTTTTATATAGAACATCTGAGTGGGAAGAATAACACACAGCTGTGCACCCTGTGTGTGCCAGAGGACAGTGTGGCATAGTCACACACCCTAAACGTTACCGGTGACTGGTGAGATAAGGAAGCTTTCAAAGCGGGCATGGTGGCGCACACCTGTAATCCCAGCATTCTGGAGGCTGAAGCAGAAGGATTGCTGCAAGTTCAAAATCAGCCTCAGCTGCATAGTGAGTTTCCAGGGCAGTCTCAACTACATAGTGAGACCCTGTCTCAAAAATACAATCAAAGAAAAAAAGATAAATTCTAAAGAAACTGAGGTTATTTAGGACAGATGAGAAAAAGCTAAAGGAAGAGACAAAGAAACCTTCTTGACAGGATGAGCCAGCCATTTTCATTTTCTTTTACAACAAAGGAATTTACTTAAACTGAAATGGGAACTATCTGGTGTGATAAGAGTTTAGGTTTTCTGGGAGACTGAGGCAAGAGGATTGCAAGTTTGAGTCCAGCTTGGACAGTGTAGAAACCTAGCTAGACACTGTCTCAAGGGGAAAAAAATGCGGTTTTCTAACATCTTGGTCATAACAAAACAGTGGAGTTGACACCCAAGGATTATGGGAACTTTAAGGAGGGGTGAGGGTTCTTTCTCTTCCTCCTTATCACCTTTGACCTGCCAGTCTGGGGGTGGCTTGTCTGTATCACTTCTAGTTTTATTGTCCTGGGTCAGGTTTTTGAATTCACTGTGGGCTGTTTTGTCCTCTAGTTGTGGAAGACATCAATAAGCGCAGAGAACCACTCCCCAGCCTGGAGGCCGTGTATCTTATCACTCCTTCGGAGAAGGTAAATCCTGCAACAGAGAAGAGCTTAGACCAGTTTACAGTACATGCTGGGCTTGGGATCTCTGATGCATGCACCATGTTTCTAGGGAAGTGAAGAGTGTATTATACCTTTTATATTAAGCAGCTATGCAGAAAGTCAGAGCTGTGTTCCCTGGATCATTAGTCTTCCCTCTGGCAGTCCTTTCCAGGCAGGAGATCCACCTCCAGGCTTTGGTTCAAATTTATTTCATCAATATCCAGTTAGTATTCCTGTTTATCTGTCTTAAAATTTTGAGGGATTGGTTAAAGTCAGAGTCCAGACAAGGCCTGTGTCCTTACTTTGGTTAGTAGTTGTTTTAGGTCTCTTAATCAGTTTTTTGAGACAGGGTCTTGCTATATAGTTCAGACTGGCCTTGGACTCACTATGTAGCCCAGGCTAGTCTTGAACTTGCAATGGTCCTCCTGCCTCAGCCTTCTGAGTCCTGGGATTACAGATGTTACATTATATATTTTAAGGGCTAGGGGTTTGGCTCAGTAGTTCCCCTGCCTCCTTCGCAAGCACAAGGGCCCAAGTTCTATCCCCGATACCAAAAAAAAAAGATTAACCATTACATTATGTATTTTAAACTATATACAAAAAATTTCCCTAAGCCAGACATGATATTTATTGCATGTCTATAATCCCAGTTATTTAGCAGGCTGAGGCAGGAGGATTCCAGTTCCAACCCAGCTGAGCACTTTAGCTAAACTGTCACAAATATCTCTGATTTTCACACTTTCTTATCACTTTTGAAAGTTGACTTACATGTGAGTTCCTGCAGATGCAACTAAACTGCCAGAGCTTCATCATTGTGAATCTCCCCGAGGTTTCTGCTCAGTTTTGTGGGTCTTTTCTCAGGAATTTAAGTTCCATGACACTCACACTGTCATTCTGGAATGAGCTAAACTCTGAAATAACCTAATTTGAAGCTCTGAAAACCTGATTATGCTGGAACATGACTGTTAAAATTGTCAAAAAAAAAAAAAAAAAAAAAAAACCATTGGGCCAGCAGTTTAGCTCAGTGGTTCTGCCACCTGCCTTGCGAGTACAGGGTCCTGAGTTTGGTCACTGATATATAAAAAAACAAAAAAACCAACATTATTTTGTGCACGTAGCCTGACACCAGCTTGGATGTCACTCAGTTCAGCTCTCAGTCCCATTCACATCTGTAATTGCTCTCAGTGCCCTCTTTTGTTTCTGTCCACAGTCAGTCCACTCTCTCATCAGCGACTTTAAGGACCCACCAACTGCTAAATACCGGGCTGCACATGTCTTCTTCACTGACTGTAAGTAGCTGTGAGCTGGCCAGGCTCACATTTCTGATTCGCGTGGCTGAACCCAAGCCAGGTCAAATCAATAGAGAAGAAACAAGTTGTTGCCGTAGTTCTCCTGATCTTTTATCTTCTTTTCAGAAGGTGAACTGCATAAGACACAGAAATAAACACACACCCATGCAAGCCTACTAGGTCATGCGGTTCTTCCTGATGAGGAGGCTCACCAGGCTTCTCTTCTGACAGAGGCTTCCCACAGAGAAGTGTTTTCCTGCTGCTGCCTTAGGGTTTCCTGGCGCAGAGTTGCAGCCAGCACTCTAAGCTGTAGTGCTTTTCCTTCGGGTTTTCAGTACAGTGATGTCCATCCAGTATTCTCTGTATCGACAGAACCTACATCACCGTCCTGGAGTTGGTTTTCGTATTTTGTATGGGTTGTGCACAGATCCTAGGAGAGAATCTGCGGGACAGAGAAGCTACAGGGTAGATGGTAGCAGGCGTCACTCACCCTCAGGTCACCTTTGAGGGAATGAAACAGGCTTAGTGCAGAATAGTCAGAGTATTTGAGTGGGAGTAAAGGTGAGGCGTGGTGACAACTGGCCAGGATTGCGTATATGGACAGCAGCCTTGGGCTTGGAGAGTGGCTGGAGGTCACGGTCCCCACCAGGGCAGCCTCTGTGCAGCTGCTCCGTAGAGGTTCAGGCTAGGTGCATGCTAGGTTTTTTCCTTCTGTCATTATAAATATGTTAAAGGAGTGGTGCTTGGTTATACTACAGGCCTTTCCTTATCCCTTCTTCATCTCTTCTGTTTCCGTTTTTTTTTTTTTTTTTTTTTTTTTTTTTTTTTTTTTTTTTTGTATCAGGGATCGAACTCAAGTCTTTGTGCTTGCAAGGCTGGCCCCGGAACCACTGAGCTAAATCCCTGGTCCTATTTCTTTTACTTTAGGAAAAAATAAAATTTCATAATCAAATAATAAGAGAATAATAATAGTTACTACACTGTGTATTGTAATCTTCAAAGTAGAGTACAAAATATAAACCAAAAAGACTCCTACAAAAAGGAAACAACACAAATCTTTTAAAACAATGGAATTATATTTTGGGGGAATATTTGAACTTATTTCCTGTGTATCTCTCTTCTGTTTTGTTCTTTGTGTTTCTCATACAAGAGAAACCACGGGACTTTTTTCACTTATATTATGTTCTCAATTTGCATCCTTTGGCCTATGAATGCCTCACACTTACGGCAGTGTAGTGCTCCATTGGGTATAAATACCACATTTCTCCTTGTCCATTCACCTGCTGGTGGACGCATACAGTACGCTATTTCCAAGATTTAAGCTATTATGAATTGTGCTGCTATAAATGTGGGTATACATGTATTCCTGTAATATGATTTTAACTCTTTTGGGAAGATACCTAGAGGCGGGTAGCTGAGTCTAATGGAATTTCTAGTTTTAGTTTTTTGAGGAATCTCCACTCTGATTTCCGTAGAGGTTGTACTAAGTCACCTTCCCACCAATAATGCAGTAGAGTTCCTTTTCTCCACAATCACTTCTGGTTTTTTAACCCCCTTCTTTTTCGTGGAATCAGATAATAGTTTTTATTACCTCTTAGTAACTCAGTCTTGTTGCTTTTTGTTTCTCTGCGGCTTGTTGAGGGCCTTGCAGGTAGTTTGCCATTCCTTTTATACCCTAAAGGTGTTGGATATTTTAGGATAGGATGAACTTTCACGTTGCCTTTTTAAAATTTGGATAATAAGGGCTGGGCGTGGTACACGCCTATAATTCCAGCGCTTGGGAGTCTGGGATTCTGAGGCAAGTTGACCCATCCCTGGGAGAGGCCAGTCTGAACTATATTGCACGGTCCTGTCTCAAAAAAGAGATAAAATAAAAGTCTGAATAATAAAGAATCCATTGGATGTGTGTAGCTGTTAAATGAGTCAGCAAGGGGACAGGAAACTGACTCTTCTGTCCTTCTTGTAGCTTGTCCAGATGCCCTGTTTAATGAGCTGGTGAAATCTCGAGCAGCCAAAGTTATCAAAACACTGACGGAAATCAACATTGCATTCCTCCCATATGAATCCCAGGTGAGTCTGGGTAGGGATGCACCCTCGTTATCCTGGGTATTCTACCAGAAGCTCTGAGAGGGAAGGGCAGTGTAATAAAGAAAGAAAGCAGGGGAGGGAGGCTCTGAGTTCTGAATCGGCTGAATGACGTGTTACATGTGGATGTTTATTTCATGGAAGTGGTTTTCCGTGGTGTATGCCCAGCGCCCAAATCTAACCTGCCCAGTGTTTCTGACTGGAGCGGCCGCCGTTCCTTTCCCCATGTGCACATTGTCCTTGCTCAGTGTCCACTCCTCTTGACTGACTCCAGGTAACCAAAAGTAGCCAGTCTAAAAGGAGAGGAAGGGATCAGAGCATCCCATCTGCCTCAAAGGAGATCATTTTTTATTGCACATAACCTTGGATTGTCACGTGTTAAAAGAACAGATGGTTGTCACTGTCGTTAGCCGTTAACGCTTCATGCACCAGAGGCCACAGCAGCAAATTTCTCCCCTTGGAAAAAAACAAAGTTGTTAAACCAGAAAGGTGAAGCTGCTTGTGAGAGAATATACTAAATCTATCTTAGTATTTTTAAGGCTTTAAAAAATATCTTCTAACAAAGAATAAAAATACCACAGAACTTTTATGCATTTTGTGGTTGTAAAGATGATTGTGCCGTATTGAGTGTGTATGGATCAGCTTCTAGATAGACCCAGAGAGCAATCTATTCTTAGAAAAGGAGGGGTGGGAAAGATGGAGTGTGAACATTTAGAGCTGTCTCATTCCCTTCTTACTTGGCTTAAAGCCTCTTTCCTGTTTGAGGGCAGGAAATTTTTTCTCTCTCTGTGAGTCCTGTGACCACCTGGGTTGAATGAAATCCAGCTTTAGCAGATCCAACCATCCTGTATTTCAGATTTATTTTAAACTAGGCATTGAACACCAGACCCACTGCATGCTAGGTAAGTTTTCTGCTACTCAGCTTCATCCTAGTTCAGTGATGGCAAACCTTTGAGTGCCCAAATTGCAACGCAAAACCCACTTACTTATCGCGAAGCTCCAACACTGCAGTTAAACCTGACTGTCTGATGCTTGGGTGCCAGGGCGACTTGGCTTGTATGCTGATAAAGAAGGCTCTGTGTGCCGTCAGTTGGCCACCTCTATCCTAATCCTTATTTATTTATAGGCAAGATCTCACTAAATTGTTCAGGCTGGCATGAATTTGGGGTCCTCCTACCCCAGCTTCCTGAGTAGCTGGAATTATGTGTGTGCCACCATGCCCAGCAATATTTCAGAAATTTAAAAAATAATAAATGTTTCTTAAAATTGCTTTTTTTTATCGTACCGGTGATTGAACTTGGGTCCTTGGCACTTGCAAGGCAGGTGGCAGCACCACTGAGCTGAATTCCGCAGCCCAAAAATTACTTTTTAAAGAGAACAAAATAGTTTACATAAAGGAGAACTTTAACTGTGTATAGTGGTACATGCCTATAATCCAAGCACTCTGGGAGGCTGAGGCAGGAGGATTGCAAATTTGAGGCCAGTCTGGGCAATTTATTGATTGGATGAGAGCCATCTAAAATGAAAAATAAAAAGGTCTGGGGCTGTAGATGAGTGTGAAGGTTCTGGGTTCAATTCTTGGGACCAAAATAAAATAAAATAAAACCAAGGACCTGAGAGGTAGCAGGTAGCAGGTAGCTGACAGATTCAGCAGTTTAAGAGAAAACTTTAAACTTCCAGAGCCCGGGGGTGGCGGGTGGTGGGCTAAGAAGAGGAATAGGGGGAGGAGAAAGGGGAGGAGGAGGGGAGGGAAGGGAAGAATATATAGAATGCATTTTACTAAGGACAGGATATTATTAAATCTATAAAAAGCCCCTTATCTTCCTACAGTTGTGGCCAGATTTTCAGCTCATTCCCTGTTTATTGAAACCAAACTCATAATGGCGCGTGATCTTGCACCAACCTCCTGTTTTCTCCCCCTGGCCTCTTTACTGTCTGTCTGACAGCCTAGGCTCGCACCCGCCCTCATTGGTCCTTGCCCCCCACCCGGAAGTACCTGGCTGGTGGCAAACACCTCCCCTCAGACGTCTCTTCCACATGAGTCCCAGAGTCCTCCCTGCCAGCCCTCCTGGGCGCTCCTTCCCTGCTGTATTATTTTCTCGCATATTTACAAGTCCTCAATGCTGTACAACTTACTTTTCATCCTAGTTATTACCTGCCTTCCCTGCTGTATTAGACTCTTGCAGTGCAGGATGTTTTGGTCACTAACAGTTCCCAAGTGCTCAGTGCAGGCCTGGCACTGGCATAAAGGAAGCACGTCCCATAGACCTGCTACCAGGGTGGGGGCGACCCGGCCACTCACCGTTCTGGACCACACTCCACGTTTACTTTTTCTCTGCAGGTGTATTCTTTGGACTCTGCTGACTCTTTCCAAAGCTTCTACAGCCCTCACAAGGCTCAGATGAAGAATCCTATCCTGGAACGTCTGGCAGAGCAGATCGCAACCCTGTGCGCCACCCTGAAGGAGTACCCGGCTGTGCGGTATCGGGGGTAAGGCAGCACAGTCTGCTGTGAGCGACAGCCCATGTGTCCCCGAGAGGAGCCGTCCCGTGCCTTGACAGTTGTCAAGAGAATCAGCATCTAAGGTTCTTGATTTGGGTGTGCTGGCGCACGTCTGATGGCAGTATTCCAGGAGGCTGAGGTGGGAGGATTGCAAGTTCAAGCCTAATCTGGGCAATTTAGTGGCTTAGTGATACGCTATCTTAAAAAATGAAAATGGGGGCTGGGGCTGTAGCTCAGTGCAAAGGCCCTGGGTTCAATCGCAATACTAAAAAAATAGAAAAAAAAACAACTTTAGTGTCTCTCACAAGATTATTCTTCCAAGGGTTGGGGACACAGCTCAGTGGTAGCGCAAACTTGCCTAGCACATGCGAAGCCTTGGGTTCCAGCTATCCCCAGCACCACATGTACACACTCAAAAATCTTCTAGGCTTCATTTATTTAAAAGATAAATTATAAATTTTATTGTAAAAATACAGTAGAATACTCCAAAAAGAACATAATTTAAACCCCCATGTGACCGGAGTCCTAGTTTTTAATCTCTGTCTAACCTTTAAGAAGTATCATCTTTGCGGAGGTTCTTGAGAGAGATACAGTGTGGAGAGTGTGAGCCCCCCAGGGCATGGCTGGCTGACTTTCAGAGCCCTGCAGTTATTGCTCCCTGCTGTGTGGTGAGTGCTGGGGGCAAGTGATGCTGAAGCCGGCCTGAGGCCTCGGATCTGCTAGGGTGGGGAAAGTGCAGGCGTTAAGTGTTCAGTGTGTACACATCTGTGATAGGGGTGGTGCAGTTGCCTCCAGACATGAGGGTGGGCAGAGGATGAAGGAAAGCTTCAAACTGGAGGTGATGTCTGAGCTGGGACTTGAAAGACAGGTTCTGATCTCAGTAGACAGATGAGGACGGCAGCGAGGGTGTTTTGTGCAGCCAGCTGGCTTGGCATCGCTATTCACAAAGCTTGGAGCCGCAAGAGCAAAGGGCGAGTTTGTGGAGGATCGGTGGGCTGTGTGCAGCCACTTCTGGAGGCTTGAACGGACAGACTTGGGATTCTGTCCTTTAGTGGCCTTGCTGGGAAACATCTAGGTGATTGAACACAGTGCTCTAGGATCACGGAGCCAGGACCAGGAGCAGGACGCAAGACGAGAAGTGGGAGCCACGGCCAGAGGAGGAGGGAAGGCTGGAGTCTGACTGACTCGGCAGCCCGGGCACTCCAGACTGTGGGCTGGCTTCCAAGGAACTGAGCTGCAGAACCCGGAGCCCCGTGGTGCTGGGGACCGTGTGCTGCACCCGTCCTCATTGCCTGCTGGCACTGGGGGCTCGAGCAGAGCTCCTGCTCGTGGCTGCCCTGGCACCAGCTTGCCCCCGTTGTTGGCACTCAGTGACAAGAGCCTGCCGGAGGTTCAGAAATGGGCCTTGCCGTTTCATGGGGCAGCGGCTAGGAGTGGCTGTGTGGCACTGAGGCTGTCCAGAGGTTGGGTGGCGGCCTCATTGCATGTGCAAAGCCAGGTAAATGCCAGGAAGCACTGTCAGACTCGGCCAAGGGGAGGTCCGTAGGCTCTCACTTCTGGTGGTCTGGTGTCGTGGACAGAAATGTCCCTAGCCAGCAAAACAAAGCAAGACCTAGGGGAGTTTGAATTGAGGGAAGTGAGAATCACACAGGTCAGGGTCAGACTTCCTGATCATGGGGAAAAGATGAATGGTCAGGGGCCTCTGTTGTAGTGTGATTGTTGATCTGAAGTTGCCTGGAAAGACGACTACTGCTTCCATTTAGGTAGTTTTTAAAAGAGAAGAATCAAAATCATTTATGTTCCAGCACTGAGCTAAGTATTTTCTTATCTTTTTTAAGACTACATCTGATATATGAATATATTCATCCTATAGAGCAAACCTAGTACAGGCAATGTTAATGTCTCCTAACCCTCCCTGCACTGTCCTGCATCTTCCTGGGACATCATTTGTGTACACGGCCATTCACCCCGTCGCTCCTCCTTTGTCAGGGAATACAAGGACAACGCCTTGTTGGCTCAGCTAATCCAGGACAAGCTTGATGCCTATAAAGCTGATGACCCAACAATGGGGGAGGTAAGTATTGGCTGGGACCACAAGGTTCTTACCAAGTGACCACAGCGTTTGTGGACAGCCCCCGGGGAGAGGCAGTTCTTTTGCTTACAGAGCCTGTGGGAGGCTGCTGTTCCTGGGCCCTGCCTAGAGCCCTGGCACAGCATGAGCCGGGTATGTTCAGAGTAACCAAGGGGACCGATCTGATGCTGTTCGCCAGGACTTTCCCAGTTCAGCACTGAACGCCCCTCATCCAGGGAAACCCTCATGGTACAATAGCAAAGACAGATAGTTGCCATTGGTACCATTTCCAGACCTCATTCAGATTTCACTGATCTTTGCATGTACCTGGTGTGCGTGCAGTTCTGTACAGTTTTAACACAGGCATAGATTTGTGCAGCCACCACTCCAATACGGGAGCTGGAGACTGGGTGTAGCTCAATGGTAGAGCACAGGCCCTGGGTTGAATCCTTAGCCCCCAACCCCCCCGAAAAAAGAGAGAAGGAAAGATAAAAAGGAAATAAAAGATGCAGAGCTATTCCATCACTACCTTGCATTTAGAATAGAGAGTCAGAGGTCCTGGGAACTCCCCCACACAACAGATGGTTGGTTGGTCACCTCCTTTGTAGCTGAACCTGGGCAGTCCTCTCCTACATAAGCTCCCTTCAGCCTCAGCCTGTTCTCAGATCTGCTTCAAAGGGCCCTCATTAGATAACAGTAGTCTCACATGGGATTCCTGGTCCTCTCGTCAAACGTGAACCAATTACTCTGTGCTGTTTTAGTAGGTTTGCTTCCTGTTGCCCTTTTACGAGAGAGGCTCCAATAGTTGGAGAGGCTGAATTGGCCGGGTGGCCATTGAAGCATCTCCCTGTTTCCCCCAGGGCCCGGACAAGGCACGCTCTCAGCTCCTGATCCTGGACCGTGGCTTTGACCCCAGTTCCCCTGTGCTTCATGAACTGACTTTTCAGGCTATGAGTTATGATCTGCTGCCTATTGAAAATGATGTTTACAAGTAAGTAGTGTTAACAGGCTCCAGAATGACGGGCTTTGCGATGAACTGAGAAAGTCTCTAAGAAAAGAGCATTTTTTTCATCCTACAAAAAATATATACATTGGCGCAGTCTCTCCAAGATGCCTGTCTCTGTGGTGGGTTCCCTGAATCCAAATGCTATTACTAGGAGGGAATTCATGCCCCTTTCCAGGGAGGACAGGAATATCATCACCTCAGTTCCTAGCATGCTTGGGTAAGTTATTAGGTTGATTTCATGTGTTGAGTATATTTATCTTACTCAGAGTTGAAAGCTTTTAATTATAAATCACAAAATGTGACAATAAAATACATTAACTAGGGCCAGGGGCTTTAGCTCAGTGGTGCCACGCCTGCCTCCCAAGTGCAAGGTCCTGAGTTCGCTGCCTAGTACCAAAATAAAAAACATAAAAAATGTTTTTTGATCAAAGACTGAGCTTCTAAAAACCAATTTTGAGGGATGGGGATTTAGCTCAGTGGTGCCATCGCTTGCCTTACAAGCGCAAGGTCCTGGGTTCGATCCCTGGTACTAAAATTTAGAAAACCGTCAGTTTTTGTCTCTATGGAAACAGGTTGTGTGGCTTTACTGTCATTTATCCTGTAGTATTGAGTGACTCTCAGCTCCTCTACCTTTCAGTCTCTACAATTCTGCTTCCTCCTGTGGTTCTTGATTTCACATGTAACACTGAGCCATAGGCCTGCCGTAGGGCGGTGTTACAAACTATACTGGCACCACACATTTGGGGATGATGTCCCAGCCCTTTCCCAGAGAGGGAAAGGGAGCTTTGCCGTTCCCCTCCACATAACTCCAAAGCCACATTCCACTCGACTGCATGCCCTGGACCAGGTGACATGTTAGGGAGTGGGCACCCCAAGATCAGCTGACCTTGAAGTATTAACTTGAAGTAGAGTGACAAGTCTCTCCTGGGGTTCGAGCTGCCACAGGTGACCTGAGCAGCACATTGGGAACCATTCCCTGGGTCACCTGGCAGCTGAGGATGAGGGTGCTGTCCTGATAAACCAGAGGGGGGACAGAGAATGCTGTGACCTGCGGCTCCCCCTGAGTCCGTCTCCTCCCTAGGTATGAGACCAGTGGCATTGGAGAGGCCCGGGTGAAGGAAGTGCTCCTGGATGAGGACGATGACCTGTGGATAGCGCTACGCCACAAGCACATCGCGGAGGTGTCCCAGTAAGACTTGTGCCAGCTCCTCCCTCTCCGGCGTGGCTGTGGGTGATGCCTGTGCTCTGTGCACCAAAAATGATACATCCCTTCTCTGAATTTGAGCTACTCGATCCTCACAGAATTAGGAAATCCATTCTGTATTAGGTGCTTTTCGGATTCTTGGGAAGCGTTTGTAGCATTCCCAGAAAAATGCTTTATACAAACTGCCTTAGTTACTTTCCCCTTTGCCGGGGCAAAGTTCCTGATGCCGACAACTTAAGGGAGAAGTTTATTTCGGCTCATAGTTTAGTCCACAGTCAGCTGGCTCTAAGGCAGGACAGCCTGGCAGTGGGGCATGGTGGACAGGAAGCCAAGAGGGAAAGGCAAAGCTGGAGGTGGAGAGAAACCCTCCAGGCTATGTCCCCAGGGAGTCTGCTCCAGCAGAGCTGGCCTCCCAGTTGCAAGCCAGCTACACTGCCCCACAATCCTTTCACCTTCCAAACACATTAATCTGGGGAGTCCATTTTACATCTGCGGTAACAAGCACGTGTTTATTGCTTTGAAAGATTGAGACATACTGTGTGCTGCTCTCTTGGACAGAGCGGGTTTGCGGCCCTTCCTCTCTGCCTGCTTACACTTTCTGCCTCCTGAACTGTTCCTTGCCCTGGAAATGCTGCAATGTTTCTAAAATTTAAATGTTGTTATAAGCCCTCTCAGCTGTAGATAACAGTTCTATATTTTCAGAAAGACACAGTCTGTTACATTGAGTTGATGATCTCTTCAGGAAATTCAGGAGGGAAAAAGCAGCACATTTATGGGTAGTTCTTGAGTTGATGATCTCTTCAGGAAATTCAGGAGGAAAAAAGCAGCACATTTATGGGTAGTTCTATTATTTAGAGAAATGATCGCCAAATCTTTTTGATCACTCAACCTTAAAAAATAGTGACCCACATTTCTAGTGATTAAATGTATTTATGAGTTAATTATATGTCTTATTGCACTAATATGTGCATTTTGTAACATATACAGTGTATTTTTCAAACATAAAATGTTATTTCAGGGCTAGGAATGTAGCTTGGTGGTAGAATGTATGCTTAAGGTGTATAAAGCCCAAGGTTAAGCCCAGCATCACCCCAAGAGTATATTTCTTTATTGGAAAAGGATGAGTTAAAAGAAACAAATAGAAGCCGGGTGTGGTGGCTCACACCTGTAATCCCAGCACTCGGGAGGCTGAGGCAGGAGGATCACTATGAGTTCCAGAACAGCCTGGGCTAGTAATGAGTTCCAGGTCATTCGCACCTACATAGTGAGACCCTGTCTCAAAAACCAAAAACAAAAGAAACAAATACAGGGAGAAGGATTTAGCACTTGGTGCCACCTCCTGCCTTACAAGCACAAGGTCCTGAGTTCAATCCCTGGTACCCACCCAGAAAAAAGACTTTCTTCTCTTTGTCTCTGGAATCATCTGGTATGCCCTACTCTAGAAACCACTGGTTTAGAATATTAGCTAGAAAACTCTCTTCACTTAGAAAATCTCTTCACACGCTTACCTCTGTAGCAGGAGAGATGCTGCAGTAGCCTAAGGAAGCTCTGTGTGACTTCTTCAGCATCCACAGAGAGCCCTTGGTGTGGTGGTGAAACTTACCTGCCTTCTTCCATTTTCCAGGGAAGTCACCCGATCTCTGAAAGATTTTTCCTCCAGCAAGAGAATGAACACTGGAGAGAAGGTAAACACTGGTCAGTGCTGAAATGGCCTGAAAATTTGTGCCAGCTGACACTCTAGGTCAAAGAAGATGCCCTTCAGAATAAACTAGAATCACATTTCTGTCTTCATTTAATGTTGCATTTAAGATTCATTCTGGCGGTCCCTTATTTTGATGTTAATAGGAAGCTGATTTTTGTTATTTGGAGGATTGATACTTATTACTGTTTGAGATATGATTCCCCCTCACCCCCAGCTCAGTACTGGAGATTGAACCCAAGGCTTTTGTACTGAGCCCTATACCTGGCGCTTTGTTTTCTTAATTTTTATTTTGAGACAGTGTTTCACTAAGTTGCCCAGAGTGCTTTAAACTTGCCATCCTCCTGCCTCAGCCTTTCAAAGTGCTGGGATTATAGGCACACACGCCCACACTTGGCTCAGGAGTCATTTTAAACCAGAAAGCCATGAGACTTTTTAATTTGTGATAGAATTAGAATTCATAGCCTGATTTACCAAAGCCTCTGCTTAACCTGACTTCCTATCAGCTCAGTCAGGGGGAGTGGACTTAGCAAATCAGCTCTGGTCATGTTACCCCCTTCCTTAAAACCATTTGGTGTCTTCTGGTTCTCCTCAGAATTCAGCTTCTTCTGTCTGCAAAGAGCCCCTCCCAAGCCAAGACCTCAGGCTGTGTGCTCTCTGCCACCCCCCTCCTTGTCCCCAGCTCCTTACCCCAGCCAGAATGCTCTCACTTCGGGCCTCACCCAGTCCTTTTGCTCAGTCATGGTTTCCTCGGGGAACATCTGGCCTTTGTCTAGGCCAGTGAGGTGTGCACCCACGCTGCCCACTCAACCTGCTCCAAAGCCTAGATCCACTCTGTTGCTGTAGCTTGCTTGGTGTCTCTACTAAGGATTAAGATCCGTGAAGCAGACATTCTTTTTTAAGAAAAGCAGACATTCTTTCATCCTTTTATCTCCAGTGCTTCATAGTGCCTGGGGTGCACTAGCACTCTAGTAGATTTTTGCTGCATAAATGGACAGGATTGGGTGGGTCACACAGACAGAAAGTAAATAGCCCTCTCTGACCTCCTTGCTTCCCACCTGTCTACCGCTGCATCCTTCTGCTGGGGAGAAGTGCACAGCTCATGCCAAAAGCAGTGCAAAGAAGGAAAAAAACATTTTTTGGCAAGAATTATACTCTTAATATAACTCCCTAATCTAGTGGAATAAAACTTAGACTTCGGGTGTTAGTGCTGTACCTGGAAGATAACTATGACATTAACATCAGTAAGTTTCTGAGCCAGAAGCCTGGAACTCTGAACACACTTAATCTTGTGTTGGAGAGCTCCAGTGTGCCCTTAGACCGCTCTCCCATCTGGTGCCTTGCAAAGTGTATTACGGCAGGGTGAGTAGAACGACACCACTGCTTTCTTTCCTTTTCCTTAGACCACCATGCGGGACCTGTCCCAGATGCTGAAGAAGATGCCCCAGTACCAGAAAGAGCTCAGCAAGGTGTGGTAATTGTGAATGATGTGTTTGAACCACGTGTGTACATAGCTGCAGAAAGACTTTGTAGAGCCCCAATATCCTAATTGAAATCCACATATTTTTGGTCCTCTTTAAAACTTTTAGTAGAAAGAAAAGGAAAAGCCTAGGAAAGACAACTTGTTTCCCGTCCCTCCGCTTTCTGCCCTACACCTTTCCCTTCCTTTGTCCTTCCCATTCCCTACCTGGTGGGAGGCTGCAGCTTCTGCCACACGGATCTGGACGTCCTTACCACATGGCCTTTGGCTCCCCACAGTGAGTGATCCAAGAGAGGGCCAGGAGGACGTCCTGATCTCCAATGTCACATACCTTTGCTTCTGCCCGGTGTGAGTGAGAAGCGGTAGCTAAGTGCAGCCCCACTCGAGCAGAAAGAAATGAAGTTTCCTCTCTTGGAGGAAGATGTATCAGAGAACCTGTGAACACCCTGTAAAAGCTGCACACCCTTGACCCTCTCTCCCAACATGGAACATTTTCTTCCTTGGGTTTATATACTCACTTGCACACATTTTCTGCCCTAGTGAGGCCAGACACCATAGTGCACAGCGTTCTATGTAGTAGATGTTCAACTGATGCTGTGTGAGTCACGATTAGTCCCTTAGTCACCAATGCTCCTGTGCTTTTCCCTAGTATTCGACCCACCTGCACCTTGCTGAGGACTGTATGAAGCATTACCAAGGCACCGTAGATAAACTCTGCCGAGTGGAGCAGGTAGGACTTTTTCCCTTTCCCGCATGGCAGGGCTTCTGCCATGCCTCTCACCCCATTGAATTTTAATATCTGACCTTGAACATTCTGCAGAATCGTAGGAAATAGACGTGGGAGAGCCTGTGACCCCCACGTTGTCTCAGCCCTGGAGCTGGTCTGGTTCTGCTCTCGATGGTAGGGACTAGACTGGTCTGGAGTGCTGTGCCATTTGAATTTTGCATGCCTGGCTCTTTCTAAAAGCTCTGTTTTCGTTGGAATGGCTAGAGGGAGACATAAGTCTGAGTCATGTGTCAATTTTATGTTCTCAATGTGTTTCCCTGGTTCTTTTGGCCCACCAGCTTTGGGGAGATCCTGAAGCCGAGAGAAGGCAGGGCAGTAGCAGGTCAAAACTCCTCTTAAGCCTCATTGGTCGCATGTCATTCTGGAAATTGAGAGGCTAGGATTTGAGTTCTGTCTGTGTCACTAATAAATATTTTTTTCCTGCTTTTTTTTTTTTTTTTTTTTTTTTTTTTTTGGTACTGGGGATCAAACTCGGGTCCTTGCGCTTGTGATGCAGGTGGCAGAATCGCTGAGCTAAATCCCCAGCCCTATATATATTTTTTTTGATGTGCCTATTTCTGTCTTCATTTTCCTCATCTACAAAAGGAATTCGCGGAACTGACACATTTTTGAGGGGTGTTGTATAGATTCCCTTAACCTGGCCCTTCTTTCTTCAAGTGTGACAATGTTACTAAACTGTATGTCACCTTTTTGCGGGGAGGTGGTGGTGCTAGGGCTAGAATGGGGCTTTGCACATGCCGTACCACTGAGCTGCCCCCGGCCCGTGTGTCAGCTTGTAAGGGAGGAGAGACAACATTAAGATTGTGAAGCCTCAGCTGAAAGTCTCTTTTCGCAGTAAAATACCAACTCAGGTTCTCAGTGTAAAGTTTAAGATTAAGACCTCTGGGTTGGTGAGGTGGCTCAGCCCAGGTTTCCAAGTCCCATCCCATGTCGTTGGCTATTTTATAAGGAGGCAAAATCCATTCACTTCTCCCGTGAGCTTGGCAAGCATGTGTCCTTTCCAGAGGAGCTTGGCCATCCAGAAAGCAGGTTGTTCTTGGGCCAATAAAAACAATTTGAGATTGATCTTCGGAAGCTTAAAACTTCTCGAAGGCATGGTTAAACTCATTGCATTTAACCAGAGGGGTAGAGTCCTGTCCTGCAGAGTCAGGGCTAGGAGTGGCGAGGGGCCGAGAGAGGAAGGGCAATCCTCATCCAGCATGGAAAGCTGCTATAACTCGAGGTCATGATTTGTATGGACTCCTGAGGTCTTGAGAGGAAAAAGGAAGCCTCCAGACAGCCTTTGAAGAGCTACAAAGGAAGCTGCACCCGGGGGTTTCGGAACCAGAGCAAGTGATGCTTGGTTTGCAGAGAGAAGCGCGTTGCCCTGTGCATCTGAGGTGTATGGTGGGGCAAGGAACTGCTCACTCCGGTCCCTTTCATCCCCAGTTCTTTTGTCAGCCCTTCTCTCCTTCATCTCCCAGGGCTTGAATTTGCAGGTTTGGAAGGACCCCCCCCCTTTTTTTGCCTCATCCTTGATATGTGGTGGGAAGATTAAAAACAGGTTAAGGCCGGGCGTGGTGGTGCACGCCTATAATCCCAGCACTCGGGAGGCTGAGGCAGGAGGATTGCTGTGAGTTCGAGACCAGCCTGAGCTACATAGTGATTCCAGGTCCGTCTCAACTACATAGTGAGACCCTGTCTCAAAAAACCAAAAGAAAAAAAAAAGGTTAAAACCCTAGCGTAGTCAAAACTCAAAGCTCATCCCTCAGTGCAGGGGGAAGTGGCATGGAAAGAAGCTAACCATGCAGAGGCCCCTTGAGCTGCCAGAGCTCTTCGGGCAGGGAGCACAGCCGTCTCCGCCCTGATACCTTGGCAGGGCCTCGGGCTGCCAGCGGCCTAGGAATTGGCACGGGCACCCTCAGGTGCACTCACCTAGACGATGACTTACCTCACACAAGGTGGCAGTCCCTGAGCTTTCTCATTTGGGGACTCACTTAGGGCCTGCCGTGCGCTCTCACTAAGGCTGTCGAAAGCAATGCAATGACATTAGTGCCGACCCCACATGCTGTGAGAGAAGAAGCGCTGTTAATGACCAGCCCTGACCGTGCTGCACAGCCTGGGCATTCGTGGGCCACGCACTTCTAAGTGCTACCACCTGTGCAGACTGTCACCAGGCGTAGAGCCAGCAAGGTGTGTTCTCTACAGGACCTCGCAATGGGCACAGATGCGGAAGGGGAGAAGATCAAGGACCCCATGAGAGCCATTGTCCCCATCCTGCTGGATGCGAATGTCAGCACCTACGACAAAATCCGCATCATCCTTCTCTACATCTTTCTGAAGAACGGTAAGAAGGGGAGAGTATACAGAGGGGACAGGCTGAGAGAAAACAGCAGAAACAAGGTTTATAAGAGACAGAAAGGGGAAGGAGAGTAGGTTCCTATTTGGAGAGATGTGATGTAGTCAGATCAGTTGCAACCAGAGGCTGAGTAGCCCTCCGTAATCCTGAGTTAGGAAACAGCATGTCTGATGGGAGGACGGGGCTAGAGAGAAGGAAGCGCTAACTGGCTTCATGGCAGTTTGCCAGAGCATTTTCTGCCATGCGTTTTTTTTGTTGTTGTTCTGGGGATTGAACCCAGGACCTTGTGCTTGCAAGGCACCACTGAGTTAAGTCCCTAGCCCTGCCATGTGTCTTTAACTTGCATCACGTTTGTAATCTCTACCTTTTATCAAAGAACTGACTTACCCACAGCGTAGTTGCTCAGAGTTCCATGGTGCAGAAGATGAATAATAAGACTCCCTTGTCCAGTTTGACTTTGGTGCACAGCGCAGGTGGGCAGGGGTTACTAAAACGCGGGACAGATGGAAGCAGACCATGAGCCACTCGGAACAGAGTGACTTGAGTGGAAGGGGAGTTAGGTTTAGAGTCGAGCTGCTGTGGTACCAGTTTCCACTGCCTTCAGCAGGAGAGGGGAGGTGCAGTGGCTGGGTACGCTGATGGCCGTCCTGTGCCCACAGGCATCACTGAGGAGAACCTGAACAAGCTGATCCAGCACGCTCAGATCCCTCCCGAGGACAGCGAGATCATCACCAACATGGCGCACCTTGGTGTGCCCATCGTCACGGATGTGAGGGCCCTTCCCAGAGGGAGGGGAGAAGAGGGTGGCGTGTCCTGTCTGCCCCTGCACTAAGGGACGGTGTCTCGTGACATACCGGTGCACCCACACTCAGCACCCAGGAGAGGCAGATAAAATCAGGGGGTTGAAAGTGTCCAGGGTACAGCGGTCACAGGAAGCAGACATGCACCCCTTGGCGTCGCACAGTTATCCAAAGCTGAGCTGCTGCGTCTCTGAACTGAACTCAAACAGGTCACCCAATTTCACCCTCCGTAGTTTGAGGTTAGTCTGACTTTACCTTTGGAAGTCTCAGACTCAGTGTCTGCCCTGAGGAAGTGAAGGCCACATTTAGAGGCCAGCTGCCTTGCCACTTCTGAGTGTTGGGCAGAGCTTGGGCAAGACTCAAGCCGGGTAGGTCATCTAGAGCCCCACACGGTGTGCTCTGGGCAGGGCTCTACAGGACCTTTAGGAACATATTCCACCTACAGGCAGGCAGCCCATGAGTGGAACTCACAGAGCTGCAGGTGAGCCGGAATCTTAGAAGACCCATGCTCTGTGCCACGGCCTCTACCAACAGTCAATCTGTCCCTGGCAGAGGGTTTATATACCCTTGTTCACAAGAGAGAGCAAAATGATAATAGAGGCGATTCATTTAGTGCAACCTGTGCCATTGAAATGAAATAAAAAACTAAGTCATATTCAAAATAGTATTTTCTGAGCCAAGCATGGTGGTGCACACCTGTAATCCCAGCACTCGGGAGGCTGAGGCAGGAGGATCACTGTGAGTTTGAGACCAGCCTGGGCTACACAGTGAGTTCCAGGTCAGTCTCAACTACACAGTGAGACCCTCTCTCCAAAAAAAAAAAGTATTTTCTCTTAGCATAGGCAGCAGACTTTTTCTTGAGATATTGGGGATTAAACCTAGGACCTTGAACATGCCAGGCAACTGCTATACTATTTTGAGACAGGATCTTGTTACGTTGCCAAGGCTGGCCTTAAACTTGCAATCCTCCAGCGTAGCTGGGATTATAGGCAGGCCACCAGGTTCAGTGATGGCAAAAAAAAATTTTTTTTAATTATTTTGCAATGGCACTTATATATTTGACTCATATTTGTCCATCTTTCATGACTTTAAAGAACCAAATTGTGCTCTTCCAGGGAAACCCTCCCCTCTTATTACTCTTTGCCAACACTTACTTTGAATTCCCAGAGGCTGCTAAAGCACAGGTGCCCCTAATCTGAGTCTGACCGCGTGTGTGCTTGCCTCCAGTCCACGTTGCGCCGCAGGAGCAAGCCGGAGCGGAAGGAGCGCATCAGTGAACAGACTTACCAGCTCTCACGGTGGACCCCGATCATTAAGGACATCATGGAGGTCAGTGGCGGGGTGTGGGGAGGCAGCCAGGTGCTTCCACCCTGTGGTCTCGTTTCTGTGAGGAAATCAGTGTGCTTTATTGCAAGGGCTCATTACAAGCTGTGACGTAGCCCTCAGGAGGCATCTCTTTGCTGTTTTTGTAGTTGGAGATTTGGCCCTGTGCTTTGGGGGCCCTGAAAGGTGCAGTGTCCATCGGAGCCAGGCCCATGGCAGCATCTCAGAAGTCACATGAACAAGTACTAGTTGTAGAAGGCTCTTAGCAGGTCGGGGGTTTAGCTCAGTGGTTCCAACGCCTGCCTCACAAGTGCAAGGACCCGAGTTCTATCCCCGGTACCAAAAAAAAAAAAAAAAAAAAAAAAAAAAAAAAAAAAAAAAAAAAAAAAAAAAAAAAAGGAAGGCTCTTAGCTAGGTAACACAGCCTGGCCCACTCCTTCTGCTGCTCCCATCCCTGAGCACCTCCATACCAGGAGACCCGGCCTCTGCCCTCTGCTCTCTGTTCAAACAGGTTCCTTGCCTGGAATGCTCTTGCCCTTGAGTCCTCCTTTCCCTCAGAGTCTCTGTAAGGTCACACTGCACTGTAGGCCACCCCACTTGTCTGACTGCCAGCTCGGGGAGGCTCCTCAGCTCCTGAAGCAGTGTCGAGTTTTCTTACCCATGCGTGCTACTGACGGGCGGGTCGTCTTCCGCAATGTCCCATCCCCTTGGCTGCCCCTCCCCTGGCACAGAGGCTCATGCTGAGCAGCTGCTCCGCATCTGTTGGCTGTAGGATGGTAAAGGTGGTGGCCTCACAGTGGCTCTGCTGTTCTGCTCTGTCCCGGCTTCTCTCCTCTACCAGGAAGAATCTGCATGGTCCTGCACCGCCAGGTCTTTGGGGTTGGCCTCAAGATAGCCTGGTCAACTTACACGTTTGGCAAGCGAGCGGAACTAGGGTCCCTTAGTTAGTTTGTGGCACTCCAGGGGCTCCTTACTAAATTATAAGTTAAAACAAATGTATTTTAAATAGATAGGATGAGTCAGCTTCCTATTTTTGAAACATACAAACCAAAAGGATTGGAGGACGGGAAACATGCAGAACCCAATTCTTTGTCTGCTTGGTGGGACAGATAGCCAGTGTCTGTATCTCACTCCCTCCTTTGTTCTCTCCTCCATCTTCCTGATCCCTGGGCCCCCAAGGACATATGTAAGTGTCACGTCGTGGCTTTTGAGAAGAGTGTGGATTTCCAGGCAGCAGGAGGCAGCAGAACCCACCCACCGTGCAATCAAGCCCCTCGAAAGGCTGTAAGAGAGACTGCCCCTGTTTCCACCAGGCTTGTGACAAGGGTCAGGAATGTAGTGGGCAGAACGCGTGTAACTTCAGATTGTTTTTGAAAAGGAAATTGGAAGTGAAACAAGGAAAATGTATTTTTTATAAAGAGTAGACTTTCTGACCTCGGCAGTGTCACAGCCACTTGTGCAGCATGAGGCACTGTGAGCACCACGCTGGGCCTTTGCAGTGGTGAGAGAGCTCAGGTTTTTGCAAACCTTGTCTCAGTTTTGCTGCCTGCCTTGCCCTTAGCATCATCTTGCTTTGGTTCCCTTTTCACGCGGACAGCAGGCCTGACCTCTGTCTTTTTTCTCTGCAGGATACTATCGAGGACAAACTTGACACCAAGCACTACCCGTATATCTCCACCCGCTCCTCTGCCTCCTTCAGTACCACTGCTGTCAGGTGGGTACACGTCGGGTGCGCAGAGAGATGGGGTCCAATTGGATGGCAGCTACATGCTTGTCGTGCTGTGAGATGGTGTGACTCACAAGAGCTCCTCACCGCTCCCCACCACAGCCGGCAGGCAGCCAAGTCCCTGCCGTGGCCCACGCAGCCTCACCGCGCCTCCCGTTCCTCTTTCCCCCCGTCACATTCTCTGCCCCAGCCCCACCAGCCCCCTTGCCGGGCCCACTTTGCACTTGTGTTTCCCTCTGCCTGAAGTGATCTGTCACCGGTGGTATCCGTACGGCCTACCCCTTACCTCCTTCAGGTCTTTAACCAGGTGTTACCTCTGCTCTTCCCCGACCACCTGTTTAAATCCCAGAACTCCATGTTCACAGCGGCTGTTTGTCAGCCCCAGCGTGGAAACGAGACCAACATTCACTGACTGAACTAAGACAAAATGTGTAGCGCCTGAGCACAGGAGCGAGGGACGCCCACAGGGTGACTGCGGCACCAGTAACTGCACTTCCCAGGGTTGCGTCTGGGAACTCTGTCCCTCTTCACCTGCTTTTCCACCTGTCTTCTCTTTCGCTTCTCCTCTTTCCGTCTTCATTTCTGCCCTTCCCTGGGCCACAGGCCTGTGGTGGCATCTGTGCACTGGTGTCCCCTCTGAGGGCAGCACAGGTGAAATATTCAGTGCCAGACTGGGAGTTAAAGACAAGATCCCAAGTAGGCTGTGGCCAGAGTGGTCAGAGGCAGCAGGGAGAGGCCGAGCATTGGATGCGTCCAGGTTGGGAAGCAACTGTCCTAAGCCAGAAAGAACGCTTCAGTGTCCAGGGGAGACGCGTTGTCTTCCACTCGTTCTTCCTGCTTTCCCAACCTGGACATAACTCTTCTCCCCATTCTGAGGGAGGTGCAGGGACTCAGGGAGGCCCCTCACTGCAGGGCCGCCTGCCCCTGCTTCTCAGGAGGCAGCCTGGCCGTGGTGCCCAGCCTGACCCGGCTGTGCCCTCTGCCTCTCACAGCACGGTTCAGACCTGCTTCTCTCACTCACCCCTCTCTGAACTTGGACCTCTTAGTGGCAGCGGCTGTCTCTCCCTGAGGACATGGCGCAACCTACCTGAGGCCTTTAGGGGACCAGTGAGGACCCGGCCTGTCCTCTTGGCTTAGCGCCCCAGGCCAGCTCAGGATAGAGCGCAGTCTGGAGTGGACACCCTCATGAGCAGGTGCCGGGAATATGTCCCATCCTACGCTAGGGCTGGCTGGACCTGTCAGGTGCCTGCACACTTCTGGAGAGTGACAGTCATAGTACAGGTGTTCACATGGCTTGGAATTGCACAGGAGTTCAAGTCCCAAGCCTTGCGAGCATCTGCTGTGCTTTGGGTCCAGGTTTACAGAGCTGCGGCATGGACATCCCCCGCATTCGGAAGCACAGGGTCCTCTAATGCAGACAGACATCATTCTGTCCTTCTCTCTTCTCAGCGCCCGCTATGGGCATTGGCACAAGAATAAGGCCCCTGGGGAGTACCGCAGCGGCCCCCGCCTCATTATTTTCATCCTGGGAGGCGTGAGCCTGAACGAGATGCGCTGTGCTTACGAGGTGACCCAAGCCAACGGCAAGTGGGAGGTGCTGATAGGTGAGTCCTGCATCCTTCCAGGGCAAGGAGCTGCCTCATCGCTCGGACTCCATCCCATGCTTTGATGTCACACCGTGTCTTAGGTTCTCCATCACCCAGCGAAGCCCAGGCCTAGACTCCTGGGAGGCAGAAACTAAGGGGCAAAGGGGTCCCTTCCGTCTATCCTTGCTGAAAGGTGGTGCCAAGAAGTGGGAAGTGCCTGATCATAGAGTCCAACAGTGCAGGCTGAAACCTCTTGTCTGCCCCTGCTAAGTGGGGTCACCTTGAGCGGTGACTAGACCTCTCCAAGAAGCCATTCCTCTTACCCAGTAAAGCCAGCATTATAAGCTCGCAACCTTGAGCTAGGCCTGAGTCGAGCTGCAAGTTTCCCAGCACCAGCCCCGCACCATGGGTGCTCCACAGACGGTAGGGAGGCGTTAAGGTCCTCCTGCACCCACTGGTTGGAGATGGACAGACCGTGCGTGAGGAGGTAGCACCCAGAACCTGCCAGCCCAGGTGCCACCCTGTGTTAAGGGCTCCACCCCGGCGGGAACTTTGCTCCTGCTGAGGAAAGCACGGGAATGGGGCCTGAGGATGGCCTCACAGTCCATTTACATGTGAACTGCTACAGGGAAGTCCCGAGCTGTCCCCTACCCATAGGTACCCACTACTGGCCTTGATCCCAGGTAGTCATTACCTCTGTATGGTACTGAGTGTTTTGTACTTCTTTGGGGTCACCAAGTCACAGCGTCCCCAAGCTATCCATAGACCACATGGCCGCCCCCGGGTCCACCATAGACTCGAGGCCACTGATACTTCTCAGTACCACCATCTGCGTCTGGTGGGAAGACTGTACTTCCCTATCCAGGCCCTCAGGCCTCCCTGTCTGATCGCCAGTTCCCCCATAACTGCTCTCTTTTCTGTGGTATAGGCCCCAGTGATGCAGCTGTGTTCCCTGCTGGCATATGTGTTGCATGAATGTGTTGAATACTTACAAGCACAAACAGCATTCCTGGACAGAAGCTGTCACGGCCAGGCTTTGGGTGTAATTCTTCTTCCCCTTTGGGACCTGCCTGAGGTCCCATGATGGGAGGCGGGGACCCGAGGGTAGAAAGTTGCCCGTGCAGGTTCATGGAGGGACCTCACACAGACAGCTGATGTCCAGTGGCCTCATCTGCTTTGTGCATGCCCGCTGCCTTGCTGCCTGTGTCCCCGTGTGCGTGCATGCATGCCTGCCTGTGTGTCCTGCTTCCTCACACCTCATTGGCTGCGGACAACGTAGGCCTAAGTTGGCATGTTCCTGTGACTACCTTTGTTCAAGCAGTCAGCTGGCCTCTGTTCTCCCACAGGTTCTACTCATATTCTTACTCCCACCAAATTTCTCATGGACCTGAGACACCCAGACTTCAGGGAGTCCTCTAGGGTATCTTTTGAGGATCAGGCTCCAACAATGGAGTGAGAGCCAAAGAAACAAAGTAAAAGCAGCTTATTACAGAAAAGAAACTCTTCCACTCTGAAGGGTTTTCTTTGATTATTCCGTCACTCTTTTTTCTTTATTTTTCCCTTTTTAGTTTCTTATTTTTTTAATTTTCTTTTAATGAGAAAATGCTTGCAGTTCTTAACACCGATTGAAAATGTGTCCAGTGCTGCCTTCATACCCTGCCCTGAACCCCCCTGGGCTCCGACCTGCCAGCTCCCTCATACCTTGGGCTACATGCTGCTCCAGCAGGCAGCAGCAGCCACTGGGCTAAACCGGGGCAGTAGAACAGAGCCTCTGAGTGGTCCTCAGAGAGGTAGCCGGAAGTTGAGGGATGCCTGAGGCATGGTGCCCTTGCCTGCTGCCCAGGGGGGCACTGTGGGCTCCCGCAGGGAATGTAAGTGTCTTGGTGGTGGCATGGCACAGGAGCTTGAGTGAGGCCCATGGGCGTCCAGATGAGGAAGACTGGGGGAGCGACAGAAGGGTAGATGGGTGAGTTCCTTCTCCCAGCACAGGCACTTCCCCGAGGGGCAGGTGCTAAGTGTGACTGGCACAAGCCACCGTGGGCTTGGTGGAATCCAGTCTTCAGTGAGAAGCGCTTTTGTCCAGCGCTGCTCACCAGAAACTGTTGTGTCATGGTCATCAGCTAAGAACTTGCCTTTGTTTTCATTCTCCTACTGTCTCCCTCTGAGGTTTCTTGGTAAGGTCTGAAGTTTTTCTGGGGAAACCTGTTCTTGATGCTCTGTGCATTGTAAGCGTTTCCTCTTCTCTCTCCCACCAAGCTTGCTACTCAGGAACCCCTTTTCTGTCTGGTAAATAAATGATCCAAGTTGTGTTTTTCCACATTGTCCTCTTTCCTTCCTCCCCTCCATCTTTCACAAGTATCAGCACCTCCTATAATGTGTTTAAGTGGCTGACTGGTCTGTCACAGCGTAATTCCTCAGCTTTGTTACGTAACCCAAGATTGGGGCCACCTTTCGTGCACCTGACCTTGAATACACTGCTCAGGATGGACCCTGAAAATGCCTCTTCACCCTGAGCTGAGATGGGGCCCATTGAGTCACAGAGCCTGAGTCACCTGTAAGCAGTCAGGGGAAACCTGGGCTCAGGGCCAGGAGGACTGGATTCCAGCCCTGTTCCTCCATGAATGCAGTGACTTAGGAAGCCACCCTACTAAAGCAGTATCGAAACCGAGGCTCCTTGAAGCTTTCACAGTGTGTAACTCAGTGACCCCGATGTGTGCCTCAGGCCCACCCACACTGTCTTGCTGAGGAATTGCAGAGAGCTGATCCAGCAGAACTTGGTGAGATAACGTCAGAAGCTTGCTTTCTCTAAAGAAAGTGACCCAGCCGGGTGTGGTGGTGCACACCTGTAATCCCAGCGCTTGGGAGGCTGAAGCAGGAGGATTGCTGGGAATTCGAGGCCAGCCTGGGCAACCATAGTGAATTGAAGGCCACCCTGAACTGCATAGTGAGACTCTGTCTCAATAAGAAAGAAAAAATCCAGGACTGGGGATTTAGCTCAGTGGTTCTGGCACTTGCCTCGCAAGCACAAAGACCCAAGTTCGATCCCCGGTACCAAAAGAAAAAGAAAAAAATCCTGAGTTCAATCCCTGGTACCCCGAAAAGAAAGAGGTCCTGCATCCTGAAGGCAGGAACAGGAAGGTGCACCCTTTGTCTCCTCTTTCCTGACAGAGGATTTACATGCTTCAAGGTGGCTGTAAGTTAGAAAGGAGCTAGTGATGGTCCTGGGTCTCGGCCCCTATCCTGCCTAGGCTCGCCTTCCTCTAGAAAGCAAGACCAATGGGTGGGAACTAGAAGGAGGGGACACAGAATAAATCATTCCCTAGAAGCAGCTTAGTATTAATCAGAGACACCTAGGGCCAGGGATTTAGCTCAGCGGTTAGGTGACCTGCCTCGCAAGCGCAAGGACCCAAGTTCAATCCCCAGTACCAAAAAAAAACAAAAACAGAGACACCTAGTTCTGAGCACAGTTGGCGGGTAGGTGAGCAGCTTGTGCTGCAGGACGTATTGAGGACCCCTAGAGAACTTGACAACTGCAGTGACGGCAGACCACTTGCAGGACACCAAGGGGTCACAAACCGTACCCCAGGCCTCCTGCTAGCATGAATGCCGGGGTTCTCCTCCAAGGGTTTCCCTTACTTCTGTGCCATCGGGTGGAGCTCTGCTGCTGTGAAGACAGTGCAAGCTCTGGTTATGCACACTTGGCCTCTAAAACAGTTTGCTGGCAATGTTGGATTTTACAGGGCTCAGTTAGGACATGGAAAAGCACAGAACCCTGGTGCCCAGCGAGCAGATCGCAGTCTGACTTAAGGCTGGGGATTTAGCTTGGTGGAAGAACACTAGGCCTTGCATATTTGAGGACCTGGGTTCAATTCCCGGCACGGACGGTGGGGTATGACGGCCCCAGGTGACCAAGGGGCAAAGCAGTGCAGGCTGTTGGAGAGCCTGAGTTTTCTCCTTGAATATCAGTTCTGTGGCAGTGGTTTTTTGTG